GCGCGCGCCCTCACCTCTTAAGCTCTTAACTTTTCATCTCGTCTGGCGTGGCATATCGATATTTATCACTTGCGAGTGCGCCGCGTGCGCGGTCGTTGTGTTGCGGGGTCCCTTACGTCTTCTCGGGCAACATCTTGACGTGTCAATTCGTTACGGGTCCAAGTGGGGCATGAAGACGCATCACACAAAGGCGGAACGCAACAAAACCTCAAGTCACACTGCGCGGTGGCCTTGCAGTGCGTTTCTTACGGTTAACGGGGGTTAGGGGGTGCGGTTGTAAAGTCGTAACGCATGGTGTTGACGCGCGTCCAGCGTTGCGTTGCGCCCGTTCACGGGACATTTCCGAGCTTTAACTTTCGGACAAATTCGCCTATGCAGACCCCGCCAGGCGGAGTTCGATGGCCGACGGCTTAACAGCTGCTCTAGTGTCATACTTTGATGCACCCTCCATTCAAACATGAGCTCGACGGGCTAAGTTGGGTGCATTATGACCGAATGTGTAACAGTAAATGCCGCGTGTCGCACTTTGCGGTCCAAAGTCACCCCTCACAAGAATATATTTTTTTTATTTTTCCTTGAAAATCTGCATTGTGGCCTGAATAAAATATGCCTGATATCGTCTTCCCCTCAACAGACTAAAAACACATTTCATACACATTTTTGTTGATCAAACTGCACTAAACTATGAAATTTGAGCAGGGGTTTACGACGATACTGACTATTACTACCATAATATCTCCTAACGGTCTGTGACGCCAATCACAAAACTGTAATTATTTGATTGCGCGTTGAGCAATCGTTTATTATTGTTTTTAATTAACAGTTCACATTTTACATTCGCGTGACTTTATTATCGCATGAACTTTGCTTTTTCTCCGACCTTTCGATTGCAGCGATGATAATGATAAATGCCCAGCTCGTTGAATGATTGAATAATAAGTGAATAAATGTGTACACTCATCTGCATTGACGACATGTGTTCGACGAACTTGTTATTATTATTAAACTAATTAACCGAGCGTCGAAGCATGATTACGTTAATTACGATGCACGTTTGCATTTTTTTGGCGGGTTTTGCAGCATGAAATTACCGCACAAGTCGATTAATCATCATTATGAGCGATACCACAGCGCCCGAGCTTTCGGAGCTCTATCATTTGTGTTTGCGGCTCCCACTCGATAGCGAAACTGAGTCGGAGGCGGCAGCCAACCTTTGCATTAAATTCGAAAGTAAAGTAACACGAGAACAAGGTAAATACTTTGTCAAACACTTTGAGTGGAAATTCTGGTGAAGAGCGCAAGCAGACAGCGGCGGCGAGTACTCGAGCGAGGGAGGAGGGCAGAGGTTAAAATTGCATTTGGTAATTCGAGCATTAAACTAGTCGAAAGCGTTCACCTCTAAACTGCTCCCTAATGAATTTAATTAAAGTATCTTTTTGAGCAGAAGTGCCGACCAACTAAAACGCAGGAGGCGGCTTTGCTCGGGGTGCAAATTCGCTTGCCGGTAATTCGTAGAAGGCTGATGGTCGTTCCCAAGTATGCCCGCACTTTTTCTGCGTGCACGACGCTGGTGTTTTTTGTCTGTGGTAGTAAACGAATAAACGAAAGCAAACGAATGCCGAGAAACTGAGGAAGAGGAAGGCTCGGGTCACAACCCAGCCGTGCGGAATTAATTAATTTCGCGAAAATATCTAATATCGCCTACAAACAAAAATGACGGAACCTTACTAAAGCCACACAATCCTGGAATTGTCTCTTCGTGGCTGTGGTAGTTTTCAATTTTTGCGCTTTTTGAAAATATGTAATAAATTTGAGTGCCTGGAATCGTCTAGGGACGACCCAGCAAACGTTTCTTGCAATACGGGCTCAAAATGCGACATAGATACGCCGATGTTTCAAAGTCAGTAGAAGAAGAAGGGACACTTGATACACGTTCAGCTCTATTTTTCTGTCATCGCTTATTTTCGTTAGCCGTCGAAAATCCGCCCCCACAGGGCGAGGGTTCACGTGTAATCGTTGTGACGTTAAGTATCTTCTGCCCAAACGCAATCTAGAACTATAAACTGCTCATATTTCAAAAAATAGCAATCAATTATCACATCACCACCAGAGAACACTATAAGCACTTCCACATGTGCTGCTGTTGAGTTCGTGTTATTTTTGGCACAGGAATATCGCCATGTGATAAACATATTTATCAAAAATTATCAGAGAAAGTAAATTTTATTGCAATATAAACTTTATGTGGTGGTGGTGCATGCTACAATCGTATGGTATGATACGCGCCCACTTTTTTTTGCAATAAGTGGCTCATAGCTGTGTAAACTATAAACATTTTACTCGTTGATTCATTTATATCATCCGTCGTGTGTTGAAATGTGGAAAAAGCGAGCGGCCAACAAATATGAGAAGATTTAATCTTGTCCGTTCCACCTACAACCGGGCCTACAAAAAATGGCTAAGAATAAAAAAAACACGACAATTGACGGAAAAAGTTTATCTAGTTGAAATTGTTAAAAATATACGTCACAAGCCGCTCGCTTACTCGAAACATATCGTCATTGAAGTAAATGAAATATGGCATGTTTGCAGTGTGACTGCAGCTTCCAGTCTACGCTTCTTGCTTCTTGTATATAACTTGCGCAACAACAAGTAGAAAACTAGTATTACTTTTCCAGCGATGTTTGTGGACGGAAACACAGCGAGTCTACATACACGAGAGAAGCATAGGTGCATTGCGCCGAATGCGCGCACGTTGATGTTGATATTTTTCATGCCGGCGAACGATCGGTATCATCGCGTATGTTTGCTCGTATCAAATATGAAATTTTGAGACTATTTTTAGCTCTTAACTTCGCTTAACTCACGCGCGGCGTGCAACTCGAGGAGATAAATAAGCATTCTTCATATTCGTATTCCAGTCGATACAAGTCGTGGTGAAATATGAAGGATGAAAAATGGGATGTGATTCTCAAAATATTTCTCTCGGTGGAAAAAGTCGTGAGGATTTTTCTTCAGCAGACAGGTGGATGAATGAGGAATAACTTAAAAAAGTTTCTCAAGTTCTGGCTGTTCCGGCGGCAAATGATTTTTTTGCGTCTGCGAAATGACTGCGAAGTGCATTTTATCATCGCGTGATTTATTCATTAAGCGGTATGCGGTTTATTCTTGAGGTTTTTTGGCGGTTGCAAATCACGGCTTCTCCAATGAATGGATGAAGCGGTTCTTGAAGGAGGGTGTTTTGGGCGTACTGTGCGCTGGTGATGGGAGCGAAGAGGCCTTTAATAGCCCATTTTCTGGCAAATAACCATTAGCCGCGTGAATTATAACTCTTACTTTTACTTTTACGCGAACGATGGAAGCGTTGCCGACCCATTGAAGGACGGCCGTAGCTAGAAGCGGGACCGTGAAAAAGCGGAACACAACTTAAACTTTTGTACCAAAGTAGAAAATAGGGAAGGAAACAAGGTGCACGAAGCATTCATATAGAATAATGTACCTTCACAAAAGTCACCCCAAAGAGGAAGAGCAAGCCGAAAGGCCAAGCGGGAGACAACTTAATAGGTGGCCACCACTGTTCAGCATATAAAGAACGATTAAAATGCACGATGAATATTTCGATAATTACCTGTTTGATTTACAACCGCAGGCTCTTTTGGATTCTTTCGTGTTCTCACGGAGAAAACGTGTTAGAAAAGAGTTCACGAAAAATATTGCTAATGGTGTTCGGACACTTTTTTTGCACCTTTTTCTATCTTGAGTTTTTTTACGGCTAAAAAATATTCGGAACTTTTTTATTTGTTTGCGGTTTTTGATCGGCTTCCAATTCATTTCTAACATGCCAGAATTAAATGCTAGGTCAGCTAGAAATTCGTATTTGCTAGTGGAACCCTTTTCAAACACGCCGACAAGTTGCAAATTTTTCGACTTGCAGCTCAAAAATTGCACCAAATTGGGGCAGAGTTCCGCGTAAACAGACGTCCCTGACAATTATCTCGAATAATTAATTGTGTTACTTAAAGTCTCGAACATCCCGACTATCAGTTACGTTACCGAGACATAGCTAGCTCAGCGCCCATTCGGTGCAATTAGTTAGGATAATTTGAATAATCATCGATTAAAACTTTGATTAACCGAGTTAAGGCGCCTGACACTTCCCGCCGCTGAGACCGGGAGTAGTTCACGAGGGTACTCGTTGTTGAGGATGACTCCGGGAGGCTGCGAGATACGAAAACGGAGGAGCATGCCCCTGATGTTGCTCTCTGCGCTACACAGTAAAACAAACTCGCGTTATTTAGCATTCGGCATATCGCGCGGTGTTCCTCGGGTCATGTCTTGCGTTTGACAGGCGGGATACGGGAGGCACGGTCTGCGATCCACCCTTCGATAATTTACAACATGCAGCGTGCGCTTACGCATTGCAAACTGACAATCTATTGAAAATACATACCAGGGAGCGTACGAACTGGTACAAAACATCAAACGCTTTCGGGTTCGAACGGTCACAAAAGAGCACATCTTGAATGGGTGGAAATATAGAACAATCAAATGTTTAGCAGACGAATGCCATCCCATCGCGGTGCATGCGAGACGCACTTCTTAAACGTGCCATGATCGAATTACCTTTTTCTTTCTTTTATTCAGTTCTTGTTCCACATTACTTCTTTATTTCTTCTTCCTGAGTAATATTTAGTTTTGTTGTTGTGTCTCCTGTCTACTACGCCCATTATATTTATGAAACAGGGGTACTGCCGAACTCCAGTTCAACTACTGGTAACTGGCAACTATTGTTATGTTGATTAATAATGCTACCAAACGAGCGAGACGATAAACTTGGGAAAGTAACCCGAAAGTCATGCCGCGTGCGCAGACAGCGCCGTGTGTGGCACAGAATGAAAACATTACCTCAAGGTACAACAATTCCTTTGCTTTGTGATAGCCGGAAGAGACAAACATGGTGTACAAACAGTTTGTGTAACTAATGTTGTTTGTGATTGCAGTGGAAGACGAGATGGTGTGTCATCACGAAATTATCGCCGGTTGCAGGTAATACAAACTACGACAACTGCTCCAACTACTAATGGATCGATAACAACTTCATCAACTTGTTAGGGGACCCTCAACTAACAATTATCACTCGAAGAAATCAGAAAAACCCTTTTTAATTACTGCCGGCCGCAGGCGGAATGAAAAACTGTTTTCAAATGGTTTTAATTTATCGATTTTCAGTATTCAAATGCATTAAAATTTAATAAATGACTTTCGAATGGGTTATCTGGGAGTGCTTAACATAGAAAGCACTAATTTCGGCTGTGCACTTCATAATTTCGATCGGATCGCATTTTGATGAACCGAAAACGAAGTGATGCTAACGCCCGTATCGGAGCGTTCGACATTTCGTCGATTACAATGCAATTAAAGCGGTTATTGTGGTTATTTCAGCTTTTACAATTCAATCAGCGACCGGTTGTGCACTCACAAATTGAATCGCGTTCAATTGATCGGGCGCGTCTCTTGTCGGATGCGCTCCGGAGGATTTAAATTCGAGACCTCTTTTTATTAAGTGCCTAGGAGTGACCCGGCCGACCCGCGGGGCATAAATGGTGCATCGTAATCGGATTGCTCGTGCCAAAGAAAGCCTAAACATTCGAAATGAAATTGAGCCGATGCCCGAGTCCATTGTGCGACAAAAAAGCTACGTCGTTTTTCATTTGTCGAGCGGTGGTTAACTAGGTACACATGCTGGACCCATAAAAAAAAAACTAGCAAAACTACAGTAGTTTCACTTGTTATTCAATTTTTTTATATATTAGATTTGATTTTTTTATGACACACCGCCATGTGAAGAAAGGTGGAATGTGAGCTTAAACTTAAATGGCGTGTGATTTGTAGCACCTTACGCACCTGATGTCCTGGGACAAGGCTGCGATTGCTTGTGCGAATTTTTCCTTGCCTAGCTCTTATTTCATTTACTCGCTCATTTTTCGGCACAGGGTTGCGACCCTTTTTTGACGGTCTTCTTCAGTTGCGTCCGTTTTTGAGTTTTTTCTTGAGTCCCCGACGTGTTTTTTCGTTTTCGATGTTTCCACTGTTTCATTGTTTCGAAAAAATTCTACCCGACACACTTTTATTTCCCGAAACAACCGCGCGCGATGGAGGGATGCGTGCATCCGTTTTACGCTTTTACCCACTCCCGTTGAATGTGCCAAAGTTTTTACGAAAATTTGCTCCAACTGCCGCTTTTTTTCGGTACGCATATGTCGCACTCTAGAAAAACTCGAAATCGAATTTTTTGGGGTTAGGAGGGCAAATGGAAAAGGGCTTTTAGCTTATTAATTAGTACGTTCATTGCATGATAATACCTGGAGCGATGAAAATATTTGGAGAGAGATTTAATTTATTCAGGATGCTCCTAAAGTTAAACCTTAGTGCCTGCTAGTTATTTTTTTTAAATTTATCTTTAGTGAAACATATTGAATATTGAAGGCGTTGGCAATAAATGTGTTATCTCTCCACAAAACGACGCACTTGTGTACATTTTGCGTTTGCACTCGCAATCGAAAATAATTATTATTGGAAATGTAATTTCGACATGTTTTTAAGCGTTTTTAATTGATTGATAGACGTACGGACGGTTGGACGAACGCTAGACAGATGTGGACGCGGGTGGCTGTGTGGGTGGCGGACCCGCCGCTTAAAACGCACTCTCGCCATATCGCGATTTCGCAATTGCGAATAGGGAACACGCAATTCGATGAACGCGAGCGATTGAATGCGAATGCAAACGCGAACGTAAACGGTTCGATCGGGTTCGGTATACGAGCCGTAATTAATTCGAAACGGACGATAAATGCGCGCCAAAAAGGCGAATCCTTTTATTATTTTTTAGTTTGCGCACGTCCCCCTCTAGGCAACGCGAACGCACTGAAATAACATTGGCACAGTCGGATAATTTGAACAAAACGCTCAAAGCAACAAAACAAAAAAAATATACACGCGTACCAACTCGAATATTTGCGCCGAAAAACAATTCGAAATATAGTATAAATTACTAACAGATTTAGGCAGCTTTTCGAGGGCTTTTTAAGCCGATTTAAAACGATATTTTCGCATGTTACGCGCTTTTTATTGCGAAATTTATAGATGGTAATATACCAGCGATAACCGTTCGCACTAAATTGGACCGAACTGAAGTACCGATCGAAGCACCAGAAACTGCCCTAAAACAACATCTTATAACCTTAGTCTCATGGAGAAAAGGATGATTTTTTGATTTACCTATTGATTAAGTTTAAAGTTTCAAATTGTTGACAATTCTTGAAGAAAAACAGCCTTAGTTAGTCTTCTGTGACATTTACTAATCATTTAAATGCTGGATGATAACATTAATATTAATGGAAGCAATATAGGTACGAGTAGTATGTGTAGGTATATTATACTACGATATACTGTTTATAATGCTAACAATTTTTCTGAGATGCAAAATTTTATCAAACGAATAACGTTCCGAGTTATTTCAATATTTGTATTAAAATGCACCTAAACGAGGCGAAATTGCGCGGAACATTTTCACTTCATTTTAAGGAAAATAAACTCGAAACTTTCGCCTAACTTTTTCTTCGCCCTAAGCCTGACTTTAAGCCGGAGTTTACTCTTGGTAACAAAGTAATAAATAATAAATTGCTGATTCACATAAGCGAAATTTATCAAATTTATCACTATGGATTGAATTCGCCGAGGTGGAACTCTTGTGCCGAAGGGTAGGAAACCAGAAAAACTTGCGCAATGATAGCCGGCGGAGAGAGAGCAAGAAAAAGCTCGCGGGGCGAGCGTCGGAAATATGCTTTTAAAGATATTAATCATAAATCCGCGCGAGTGTACCGCTTGCACATTCTCGCTCAAGAAGTTTATTGGCAAACATGTAAGCAATTCGAGCCATTGAGTAATCTCGCACACCACGGCGGGGCCCAGCACGGTAGCCAGCCTGCAAAAAGCGCGTTACTTTCCGCTGCACTTTCCCACTCGACGAAAAACCTATCAAGACGCACATAAAACAGCCGTCGTAATGTGGCGGGACAAACGACCGAACGAGCGTTTTTTCATTACTTTTCATTAGTTTTTATTGCGTGAAACTTCCCGCTCTCGGCAACTAAACGCGTTATTATGAAGTGTTTAAATATTTAATTGAGCGATGACAGGACGTCAGGCGGGCCGGCGACGGTTCGACAATGCGTGCCTGTTCACCAACGCCTGGTCTTGTGGCATCACAAGCGCGGGAGAGTGTGGGGTGTTACTCCGGGCGTCGGGGTGGGCGCCGCGGTAATCCATCACGTCGCTCACGGCCTGCCTGCCCTTAGCTGCGTATGTGTTTCAATTTCAAAGCGACGGGCGTGTATGAATATACGCCACCGCGTGTGCATTTACCAAATAGACGTCGAAATAGATTATGACTGAGCTGCGTGTTACCGAACGCATTTTCACTAATTTATCCTGCCCGTTGGTGGTAACATATTCAACCTTAAGAGTGCTTCACGAGGAAGACAACTGCGTGTCAAAAAATAAATACAAAAATAACCTGTGCCAACAGTTTACCTGCTTTCGTAATTTTGCCAAAAAAAAATGATGGCGAAAAGTGGTATGTAGAAATAAAAAGGAGACCAACAGGCGATTGATATGCGTTAAGGTGACAGAAGAAACAAATATTTTGCCACCTTTCTTGTTTATTTTTTATTTATTTGATATTTTTTGCATTTGTATTGATTTTGTGAAACTCTCAGTATTGAGGGAGATACTTTGTGAGCGAGCACTGCACATGTGGCGCACTTTTCAGCCCTTTAATTACCCCCATGCACGGACAATTTACGTAACTCGTTAAAAAACTATTTAATTGACAACGTAACGTGCTGCGCCACATTTAAAACGTGACAGTCTCGAAAAAGCCTCAGTGTGGACAAAAAGCGCGAACGTGCGCTCATTTAAAATTCATAACTCACGACGTACTTGCCCGGCGTCATTAGCGGTAGTTTTTAATTTCATTAACCCCAAATATCAACCAGAGAACTTTAAATACCTGATACAAAATATAAGGTTTTAATTTTTCAATCGTCTTGTCTTAGAAATGTTACGACTAGTGCAGAATAGTTGTGTTCGCAATACGAGAACTGTTGGTTTATATTTTGGGTCGGCGGCAAATCGAGCCGGCAAAGTAATAGACTCGAAGGGCGTTCGTCGTTTGCCACTCGCAGCTCAATGGAGTCTTTAAACAGTTTCGTAAGTTGATAGCATCCGCTTAACGTGTTGCTAGCGCGCGCGAGGCGGCTTGGCGCGCCGCGTTTATATGTTTAGCCGCTGTGCGCTTTGCGCGGCTGCGGCGGCAATTCGCGTCTTGCTTTCGTCTTCGTCGGCCCGAGCGGTAGTAACGCACCGCCGCCGGCGATAATGTTACGTAATAACTCGCCGTCGCTGTTTCTGCTGCTCCCCATTGCCGCCTCCGTCTTTGGCTGCGGCACGATGTCGTGTTTCTTCCTATCGTCACATCGTAGTATATATGCGTGTGTGTGAGTGAAGCGGGTTTTGCTTAAAAATTTTAGAACATTTTTCACGCCAATTTCTCGAATAATTTGAGTTTGAGGAATTCTTCTGTGTTACTTGTTTTTCGGCTGATGTCTTAATTGGGCATTCGGCATTGTTTTCGCTATCTCCAGCCGGGTGGAGACGCCCGAAGCGCAACGTCGTTAAGTCACTTAAGTCTTTTGAAGATTAATGCGGATAAGGCAGATAAAGAAATTCATTTAAGTTTCTTATATTCTTTTGTTTCGTCCATTTTGTCTTCATTCGCACTAGGCTTTTCTTTCGCAGCCTTTCTCTCATTTAAATATTTATACAAGTTCATATTTCCATTTCAATTATACAAAATAAAATATTTAGGCTTTTTTTACGTCTATTTTAGCTTCAACTGCGAAAAGGGGTGAAAAATAATCATCGCCGGATTAAAAGGTGCACACGCAGAAATTGAAAATCACTTGAATTAAATTAAATTGAAAGCA